ACACAGTAACATAACAAACAGTATAGCATCTGGCCAACAAAGTGGTCCTTCTCCACAGAGGGAGCAGCATGCCGCCGCCATCGCCGCTTTTGGCCTCTTGTCTGTTTTTCTCCCTCACATTCATGGTGTCTCATTTATTCGCCCTTATACATAACCCACACTCGTGGGCTGTCGATATAACCTGAAAGGCTCAATTAGTGCCCATAATCGAACAACTGATCATCAAAACTGCGTAAAATCAAGAAAGCTGGCTCATCGAACGACTATGTAGCAAAACGATGAACAACTGGGAAGCAACAACTGATGGAACGCAATTGTGCCAATTATATATGAACAAAAAAGCCAAACATCATAAGGCCAAAACTTTTATTTACTTCGATAAAAAAAATCTGCATATTGCGATCACATTGTAAAAATTTGCATGTTTCACCGAAATTTCCACTTGCAGCACAATCCATTTAACGTCTTCGAAGATCTCCCTGGTTTCTTCAAGACCCAATTTTTTCGAAAAAAGAAATTTCGAACGGCTGATGACAACATTAACCAAATTTTTGATGGCCGCTCGAAAACGGCTTAAAAAAGCCAAAAGTGTAAAAGCGGTGTCTCTTTTTCATTCTCTTCTTATCCCATCCTGTCTTTTTAATTGACAATTGTCCTGCACAAATTGGCTACCACCAGCGATGGGTCTTATTCCTCGTCATTCGGATCAAGCCTGTGTATGTTGCGCTTCGAAAATGAGACGCTGGCGGTCTTTATAGGTGTGCAAGAACAAATGCGGCTCATCGTACGTTTCAATCTCGACAGCCTCTTTCATTCACTCATTCATTCGCATACTCATTCCTAATGTAATTTCGAATCTACATGGTTCAATGTGCCAGCAGAACGAGCTTATTCTCGTGCTAACTGGCTGCTCTTCGAACTACGAACTACCTCTTCGAACTACCTCTGTCAGCTCATACCTCCGAATCATAGCAGCCCAACAATTTTGTAGCCTAATCACAGCAACTAAGAACAACATCCCCTTGCCTTCTTCCGACTGTCATAG